GAGGTTCCTGAGGTTTTCTTTCGGGGGCAAAGAATACCAATATCGGGTACTACCTTTCGGTCTAGCTTTATCACCCCGCACGTTCACGAAATGCGTAGATGCAGCTCTGGCCCCGCTCAGGCTGCAGGGCATACGTATTCTGAACTACATAGACGACTGGCTGATTCTAGCGGAATCAGAACAGTTAGCGGTTCGGCACCGAGGTGTCGTTCTCGCTCATATGCAAATATTGGGGTTGAGGCTCAATGCCAAAAAGAGTGTGCTTTCTCCAGTACAGAGAACCACTTTTCTTGGTGTGGTATGGGATTCAGTCACGATGCGAGCAGTTCTATCACCCGCTTGTGTAGCTGCTATCCTTACAGCCACAAAAGAGCTGAAGCTAGACCAGTCACGCACTGTGAAACAGTTCGAGAGACTGTTAGGCCTCTTGGCAGCAGCGTCCAATGTGATACCCTTTGGCCTGCTGTACATGAGACCTTTGCAGTGGTGGCTCAGGACCAGAAGGTTCTCCCCGAGGGGAAACCCACTTCGTATGATCAAGATAACGCGGCGGTGTCTCCGCGCCTTGGTTATATGGAGGAAACACTGGTTTCTTAACCCAGGGTGCGGTGTTGAGAGCTCTTTGTCATCGAGTTGCTATCTCGACAGATGCTTCCCTCACCGGCTGGGGTGTGGTAATGGAAGGCCGCTCGGCTCAGGGTCTGTGGAGGAGTCATCATCTCTCTTGGCACATAAATTGCCTGGAGATGATGGCCGTCTTCAATGCTTTGAAATATTTCCTCCCAGACCTGAGGGGCCATCATGTGCTCGTCCGTACAGACAACACATCGGTGGTCTCTTATCTGAACCGCCAGGGGGGTCTGCGTTCGCGTCCGCTTTGCAAACTGGCGCATCAGATCCTCCTGTGGTCCCTGGGGAAAATACTCTCTCTGAGGGCAGTGTATATTCCAGGGGACCAGAATATAGGAGCAGACACCCTGTCAAGGCAGGGGCTGAGGCCAGGGAACTGGAGACTCCACCCCGAGGTGGTGGAGCAAATATGGGAGTTTTATGGCCAGGTAGAAGTGGATCTGTTTGCGTCTCAGCACACAACGCACTGTCCACTCTGTTCTCCCTCACTCAACCAGCCCCGAATTTGGTTTGCGGACCTCATTCATCTTCTCGACGGCCCTCTCTTGGAGATCCCGATCAGGAGAGGCCTTCTGTCTCAGGCAGGGGGCACAATATTTCACCCCCGACCAGAGATTTGGAAACTATGGGTTTGGCCTCTGAGGGGACCCAACTCAGAGAGAGTGGTCTCTCAACCGAGGTTGTTGAGACCATTCTAAGCTCCAGAGCTCCTGCTACAAGGAAACTTTATGCGCTAAAATGGAGAGTTTTTTCTTCTTGATGTCACCAACGCCAGTGGGATCCGGTTCACTGTTCTGTAAACACAGTGCTCGAGTTTCTACAAGAGCGTTTCACATCAGGTCTATGCCCATCCACACTCAAGGTTTACATGGCGGCCATTGCGGCTTACCACGCCCTGGTGGGTGGTACATCTCTGGGTCGAGACCCCCTGATTACTCGTTTCCTTCGTGGAACCTTGAGGCTGAGGCCTGCAACTCGCACTAGGGTGCCAGCCTGGGACCTTGCAATAGTTCTGGAAGGCCTGTCTAGGGCTCCATTCGAGCCTTTAGACTCGGTTTCAGAGAAATTTCTTACTTTGAAGACTATCTTTCTGTTAGCTATTTCGTCCCTCAAAAGAGTCGGAGACTTTCAGGCCCTTTCAGTTCCCCCACTTGCCTTGAGTTTGCACCGGGGATGGTCAAGGCATTCTTATAGCCAAAACAGGGATACGTCCCTAAGGTGCCGACCATGATTCCGAGGCCTATTGTGCTGCAGGTTTTCTGTCCTCCTCCTTTTACATCTGCGTACCAGGAAAAGCTGATCCTCTTGTGTCCAGTGCAAGCAGTGGAGAAACTCCAACCAGTTATTTGTTTGTTTTGGATCACCCAAGAAAGGTCTTCCTGCTTCTAAACAGACGGGTAGTAGGTGGATAGTCGAGGGTATTTCACTTGCTTACGAGTACTCTGACCAGCCGTGCCCTTTGGCGGTCAGGGCTCACTCTACTAGGGGAATGGCGGCCTCTAAAGCCTTATTATTTGGGGTTTCTCTCCAAGACGTTTGTGATGCGGCGGGCTGGTCCTCACTGCTCACATTCATCAGGTTTGACAGCTTGGACCTGGACGCTGCCCAAGGTTCTCAGGTGCTTAGTGCTTAGTGTACAACAGACTGACACTCAGGTACTTGAAAGTTTGGCGATTTGGGTATTCTCGTTCCCAAAGCGCTGTTGACGCATCGCGAGTTCCCTCGAAAGGGAACGTCTCAGGTTACGACCGTAACCATAGTTCCCTGTGAAAGAGAACGACACGATGCGCCAACCTGCCATACTTCCTGCATCCCTGTGATCGGCTTGCTTCGGCAATTTTCAAAGCTAATGCCGGTCTGCACCGGATGTGCTTTTATCTCTTCCTGGTCATGACGTCACCCGCCCGTGACGCTCATTCTTTCCATTGGACTAGTTGACATAAATGCTTCAGACGCATTTACGCTGGGGGCGTTCCCAAAGCGTCGTTGACGCATCGTCTCGTTCCCTTTCTCAGGGAACTATGGTTACAGTCGTAACCTGAGACGTTTTTCTATGTAGAAATGTTCGGATTATTTTGATATATAGTGTATAGTTACATATAGTGTACCTATACTTTATTCCATTGCATTTATTAGTATGATTTTGTATTTATTTTATTGTTCAACTCAATTATGCATTCATCTGTCAAGAAGGTTCAGTCTTCATGGATTCGGTTCGGAGTTTAAAACAATCATGAATTAATCTGAATATGGCAAACAGCAATGCTATCTATCAGAATCTATCAAACAGCAATGCTATCTATCAGAATCTATCAAACAGCAATGCTATCTATCAGAAGGTTTAGGTTAAGGGTTAGTAATTTTTTTAGCTAATGCAGCTAAATTATTATTATTATTTTGTCTTCATTATATTTACTGACGACTTTGTATCCACAGTTTTAATCCATCATTTCTTTGATCAAACTTCTCACTCAATGTTCTTTACTTTTCAAAGTTGTCATAAAACATAATCTCTCCTGGTAACAGGTTCATAATGGCTAGCTAGCATGTTAGCTTAGCACAGCATCAAAACGTAAATTTTTGCGATTAAAACCTAGCCTGACTTCGTCATACTCATATTCTAGTCAGAATGTGAGTCTGATACTGCGTCATAGGGCTTTGATTATGAGGCGTGTCTTAACCGAACCAGGAAAAAACAACAACTCTGCACTCAATTGGATAGACCTACAACCAATGAGAGCAACGCAGTAAGTCAACTACTTTGCATAGCACAGTTGTCAACTACATAACTCAAATGCACGCACGCTGGAAGAAGTAAAATAACGAGTGTTGCTTCTTTTACTTGGCCCTCTATGAGTGCGACCAAAGGAGAAACTACAACGACCACAGGGTTTTCATTGCGTCCCATCTTCTTAGTTACCATCGGAACCAGCTGATAAATTAAACTTTTGCCGAATCCCATAGGAAGGACGGTAAACACATCTTTCCGATCGACAAATGCCTTGATTGCAGTTCTATGTTCGTCTTTTAAAATGAATGCGCTGTCGATTTCTTTTACAACGGACGCGATAGCGGAATCTCTACATCTCAGTTCTCCAGTGGCAGTCATCTGTGAGGGAAACCAGTTCAACCCAAGCGCTCTTTGATAACGTGAGGATTACGTCCCTGCAGATCATCTGTCCATCATCGAATAAAGCCCGCCCTGGCAATTTGATTGGCCCGACGATTTCTGAACCGATCATAATTACTCCTCAATGGAGCGAGTCCAGACCGAACTTCCCGATCAAAAAATGTTGTGGGCGGGGTTCGGGCTGGCATCCAGGCTAATTAAAACCATGTTTTTGCTCCAAACTCACTTTATAATATCAGTCAAATGTTTGAAATAAGATTCTGTGATCTGATGTGGCTTCTTATCACAGAATGAAGCTGCTTGGAAACTATGTGTATTGTAAAGCACTACTTGACGCTTGGTCGTACTTCAAGATGGGATAAAAGTGACGAGGACATGGATATTTTGGTTGTTTCAATGTATTTTGTAAAAACTAAAATAAATAAAAAACTTAAAGTTGTCTGGATAATCTTTTAATTCTAAAGATTATATAATCTAATAAAATAATACATTTTAAAGAAGTCCGTTTTGCTCATATCTATGTATCTATGTATCTAAACTTGCTTTGTAAATGTAAACTGAGTTTGTCTAACATTATCGAACCATCCTCCTTTGTAGAACCCAAGGCTGATCATAATGGATGTTTTTTTTTAATAAACGCTGACAAAACTTTACAGTTACACAGAATATAAGAAGGCAAATATTTAATTGATGAGTTGTCAGTGCAATATCCCAGCTAGAATTTTTTTTTTTTCTAAAAATGTTCTGAGAACATTACCATGCAGTGTTCTAATAATGTTTTCAGCGGGTAGTTTTATTTTGGTTCCCAGAATGTTCTCCTAAAAGTTCTAATAACATTCTCTAAAAACATTCTAAATATGTTTAATGCTAACATTGTTAGAACATTATTCCCTAATGTTCTTATAACATTTTCAGCGGGTAGTTTTCTTTTTGTTCCCAGAATGTTCTCTTAAAAGATGGCATAACATTCTCTAAAAACACTCTGAAAATGTTTTGTGATGACCTTCTATAAAGGTTTAATCATAACATTTTTAGAACATTATCCCCTAACATTCTTATAACGTTTTTAGCGGGAAGTTTGATTTTTGTTCCCAAAATGTTCTATTAAACAAACAAAAAAAAATGCTTTGCTATAACATTGTTAAAACATATAATTTTATTCATCTCAAAACTAAAAATTCCAAATTTCAACAGGTTTATAAATGGCATCCACATAAATTATTAGAAGTTCTGCGTACAGTAAATGCCCAACACTATGAAGAACTCAGTAAAGTCACTCATGCATCTTGACTGCTGTGTTTGCTCAGAGCGCTCATCATCAGTCTTTGCTTGTCTTGGTTCTTGCAGAAGAGTAATCCAGTCATCTGTATTAATAGTGTTCTACTGTTCTTCTCTTCTAGTTGTCCAGTTGCTCGCCCAGTTAGCAGCATTGAGCTCTGTTCTCTGTGTGCATGGTAGAGTTTTTCCTCATAGCCTAAAAAAGAAGATCATGCAAAAGTGTAAACAGAAAGAATACACATACATTAAGATCACAAGCAATATTGACAATGAAAACTTTCAAAATTAGCCAGCCTAATTAGTAATCAGAAATTATGTAAAGACTAATTTATTGAAAGTATAAATATGATACCTTATGAGTATCTTTTTTGTTTCTGTAATTTAAAACATATACTTAATCCATTATATTCATGTTAATAACACAACTAGAGGCTATGTGAACAAACTTTGCTGTAGTCTTGAGAAGCCTGAAGCTGAAGCAGGACTGGAGCTCAGGTCGCCGTGAGCACAGCTCCAGCACGTCACAGCGCTCGCTGCCCACGAGGCTAGTGCTCTCACATAACAGCAGTTATAGTGTCTATGGATCGGTACATTTCTGACAGATTTCTGCTTGTTTTAAATCAGATACAGATAAAGTAGCACTGCATTTGAATGCATTGGCGATAGAACAATTTCTAGAGTGAATTAATCATACCTGTAAGTGCAGCGTCTCTTTGCTATTAGTGAAGCTGTAAGTTTTAGTTACTTCAAAAGCAGAAATAAATATATGCTAAGCTAGTTATTTTAAAGCTAGTTATTTTAGTCAATAAAGTTTTAAATATGGATATTTTTCTTACACAAATGCATCGCTTCACTTCAAAAGGCCTTTATAACCCCGCCAGAGTCGTGTGGATTACTTTTATCATGGATGGATGCGCTTTTATAGACGGCCATTCACTGCCATTATAAAGCTCAGAAGAGCCAGGACATTTTTTTAAATATAACTCCGATTGTATTCGTCTGAAAGAAGAGTGTCATATACACCAAGGATGACTTGAGGGTGCGTAAATCATGGGCTAATTCTCATTTTTGGAGATCCTTTATGGTCTGTGTTAGGTGCAGTGTTAATTTCGTTGACGAAAATAACGACGAAAATTATTCGTCAACGACATTTTTTCACAGACGAAAACGAGACGATAACTAAATAAAACCTAGTTTTGAATGACAAAGACTATGACGAAAATCTATTGACATTTTCGTCAACGAATAAAAACTAGACGAAAATGTTAGATAGTGACGATTTGGGAAGCGATCCGTCAGAACTGATGTCCTGAGCGTGTGTGATAGATGCGCACATTTGTAGGCTACTGTAACGTGATCTACCCCGCGGTCATAAAACGTTAAAAAATGTGAACGTCTGGGAGAATGAGTAGAGCAGACATATAGATCTGAATAAGAGTGACGATGCAAAAAAGAGTTCTATTCGGTGCGGTTTTCTGTGCGCACACACCTAACCCGAAGCGTGCAGTCATGCACAATACACCTACAGCGCGCGAGTAGGCTACTGAATTGAGCTCTCTTTCGTGTCTGAATGGACAAATACACACAACAGTATGTCTAAATGTCCGTTTTAGAGAGTATTCATGTAAACTATGCTGGTTATGTCTTAAACTGTGATTGTATCGGATGTGCATCAGTGCAATTGTATCCGCATGTCATATTGGACATGATCCGACGTCTTAAAGTGACAGTGGCAATAAACATAATGCGGTCCGTGTCCTTAATTTTGATCAAGCAACAAAAGAAAAAGAGAAAAGCATTCACTGTTTGTTAATAGCTTTAATAAGGATTAATTATATTGAATTCATACAAATAAATATGTCTGCTTGAAAGAATAAAGAATGATGTATGCAAGTAGTTATAAGGAATGCATATATCATTCATTGTAAAGAAGACTGTGTTGTACTTTAGGAAAAGTGGTTTTATTTAATTTTAAGATATTTTTTAAGTAACAGCAGTTAAATCTGTATCTGTATTGCATGTTCAAACTTAAAAATCATTCATATTAATAGGTTAATAGATGTTTTCTCCGGGAGTAAATGGGTTTGGAAATTTTAGAGAAATTCTAAATTAACGCATTACAATTTAACTAAACCCATTATATTTTAGTCGACTAAATCTACTGTAGATTTAGTCGACTAAAATGTTATTGTATTTCGTCGACTAAAACTAGACTAAAACTAAAACAATTCAGATGACTAAAATATGACTAAAACTAAATGCCATTTTAGTCAAAAGACTAAGACTAAAACTAAATCAAAATTTGCTGACAAAATTAACACTGGTTAGGTGCTTTTAGCACTAAAGCTCTATGAGTTAAGAGTTGAACATTTATGTCTCGGAAATCATAATAATAATATTATTTAGTTTAAATAGGTTAACAATATGATGGCTTTCTTAAACCAACAAAATTATTTCCTAACATTTGAACAAGATTACTATAATCTGTAGCCTACTATAATATAAAGGTAATTCTATGAAGATTTACAACAAAAGTTACAAAACCACTTGCCAGTTACAAGGCTCTTTAGCTCCCATATCCATTCACCTCTGCAGGTTTATGTTTGTTTCAATAGTTGCCAGATTGTGTCCTATACATGGACCATCAGCAGAGTAATTACCTGAAATATTTTAAAACATGGTCTGTCAACATACAACGATATTACAAGCACATACAATATTTGCTAGAAACACAAATGACTGAAACTTGTTTTAGACTGAATGGCTGCTCTTTCCATTTTTTTCCATTACCTCTTTATGAACTACTGAAATATTATTAACTTTTATTTTCAAAAGACATAAGATTAATATTAACACTTTTAAGTAGCAAAAATACAGTATTCGTATGCATAGAACACAATACCGGTATTATAGTAGGCTACCTTTGTTGTAAATGGAGACTTTATTGTGTCATCGGTGTTATAATCATCTTGAAACAGGCAGTTTGGAGTCTGCATTAAAACAAAATAGCTGTATTTCAAAAGTAACATACACTCAGATTTATTGCGACTGTCATACAATTCTAAGAAAGTAAGATCTAATACTGAAAGACATTGATATATCAAGGATAAGAGAAAGCTATGTAAACTGAAAAAATACACAAAAAAACTTACAGTTGTGAAAGAGTTCAGTTCCGTTGACCAGGAGTTCTGTTGTTTTGGGCCAATGTGTCAAATAGCCAATTTAGACAACGGACATTTTGCGCCGCTTTCTAATAGACCTTTCTCACAATAACCGGAAATACGTAATCATTGTGGAAGCGGAGTTCCTCAAGCATCAACACATCAGAAAAACATGCCCGGCAAGTGAAAATGGAGAGAGTCTACACAACTTTGTTAACGGATTTGCCAAAGATTACATTTGCCGACGTTACAAGGCTCGTGGAGGAAAACTGCGTCACCAAATATATATAAAAAAAAAAAAAAGTTTCAAAGCTTTGTTTGATATTTAATTTTTCTCGACTTCTACAGGCGTTAACGGCTGACGTTTTTGGCACCGCTCATACACAGGGTCCCTTTTTCCTTTAGGGGTGAAATCGTTGTAAGGAAAAAGGCTAGGGACAGCCTCTGGTTTCAAGCGGCGAACAGTGATCCCTAAAACGTAGTCGTCTGATGTGAAGTGTCTGCTGCAGACATAAGTGCTCCCCTTTTTAATCGTAAAGTTTGGTCCTTCATCCAACCGGATAGCCTGAATCCATATACGTCGAACTTCACAATCAACAGGGAAGGAATGAAAAGATAGATATGGCTGTTTTTGGGCATAGCAAGAACAGCCCGGTACGCTACAATAGCTCTTGCTCGTGCCATTTGTTTACCTGTTGTCAACCTATACGGAAGTTGTGAGAAAGGTATATACTGAAAGACATTGATAAGGATAAGAGAAAGCTATGTAAACTGAAAAAATACACAAAAAATACTTACAGTTGTGAAAGAGTTCAGTTCCGTTGACCAGGAGTTCTGTTGTTTTGTGCCAATGTGTCAAATAGCCAATTTAGACAACGGACATTTTGCGCCGATTTCTTCAACGAAAACGTTACTTTATTTGCGCTGTTTGTCGATTTCAAATGTTCTTACGTCATGGGAAAATCACACTGTGATTGGTGGTTTTAAACGTCGATCTACAGTGGCCTCCAATCAGCTTCTCGTCTCTTGTAAACACATTTCGCGCAACAGTTCAAACAGTTCAGAGTAATCCTCAAAACACTTCACGAATGCTGTTTTGATAATTGTAGTAGGGGGGCGTGGTTCAGCGAGGTCTGTAGCGGGAGAGCGGGGGTGGAGCCGAGCGGTAAGTAAGTAGGTCAAGTGCAAGATGACGAACACCTGTTTCTGATTGCAGTGATTGGCGTGGGGAGACCGGATAAAGGCCGGTTGCTGCGTGTGTTCGAGTGAGAGAGAGGGACTGGGATCTTGTACACACACAACGGAGAACCAACGTGATTTTGAGTAACTAGAGACTGTGCTGTAGTTGATCTATGGTGAAGGCGCTCGGGCGCACCTGTATGAGCTTAGAAAATAAAAGTGTACGAGACCCAGTCACACCGACCCCTGTCTTCTTCCATCCTTTTTATGCCACTGGAGCGGCGGGAAGGTCTGGGCCGGCCTGTTGGCGTTGCGGGGATCCTGGGCATTTTGTCGACCAGTGTACAGTGATGGAGGTAGGGACACTGGTCAGGGTACCCGACACACCGCAGGCTGCCCCCGGTCATGGCGGATTATACCAAATACCTGTGAGTATAAAGGGGGGTACGTATCAGGCTTTGGTGGATTCAGGCTGTAACCAAACCTCGATTCATCAAAGTCTGATGCAATCCGAGGCATTGGATAAGAGCCGCGCGGTTAAGGTGAGGTGTGTGCACGGGGAGGTGATGGAATATCCCTTAATGCCAGTCATGATTCAATTCAGGGGACAAAAGCATAAGGTGGAGGTGGCTGTTAGTCAGCACCTTCGGCATCCGCTGATTTTGGGGACCAATTGGCCAGGATTTAAGATTTTATTAGGGCATTTATGTGCGGGTGCATCTGGGAAAAGGAAAAAGCGGGGGAAGGAGGGGGCTGCTCAGGTGGGAGAGGCTGTTCCGGGACCATCGGAGCCTGTCTCGGAGGAACGGAGCGCGATTGAAAGGAGAGAGCTTTCAGAACGCGATGATTTTCCTCTGGAGCAGTCCCGAGATGAAACGCTGAAAAATGCCTTTGATCAAGTCCGTACAATCGACGGGCAGCCTCTCCACCCAGACCGGCCCATCTCATATCCTTATTTCGCGATTATAAAAGATAAGTTGTATCGGGTGACCCAAGACACCCAGTCAAAGCAAGATACAACACAGTTGTTCGTTCCAAAAAGCCGCCGGGAAATGCTTTTTCAGGCGGCTCATTGTAATCCGATGGCTGGGCATTTAGGGCAGGCAGCTACACTCAATCGCTTAATGACCCGATTTTTTTGGCCGGGCATCCACGAGAACGTGCGCAAGTGGTGCGCCGCTTGTCGTGAATGTCAGCTGGTGAATCCGCCGGCCAACCCAAAAGCACCATTGTGCCCTCTTCCTTTGATAGAGGTCCCCTTTGAAAGAATTGGTATGGACCTCATCGGGCCATTAGAGCGATCTGCACGGGGGCATCGCTTTGCTTTAGTCCTAGTGGATTATGCAACGCGATACCCAGAAGCAGTGCCACTTCGTACGATCTCCGCGAAGAGCGTGGCGAGTGCACTGTTTCAATTAATCTCCCGGGTGGGAATCCCGAAAGAGATTCTCACCGATCAAGGCACGGCGTTTATGTCACGTACGATTCGCGAGCTTTATGAATTATTGGGCATTAAATCGATTCGCACCAGCGTCTATCACCCACAGACGGACGGGCTGGTGGAACGTTTTAATCGCACATTAAAGACAATGATTCGAAAGTTCGTACAAGAAGACGCCAGAAATTGGGATAAATGGCTAGAACCCCTCTTGTTCGCTGTACGCGAGGTCCCCCAAGCCTCCACGGGGTTTTCCCCCTTCAAGCTTCTTTATGGGCGTCAGCCCCGCGGGGTGCTAGACGTGCTTAGAGAAACTTGGGAGGACGGACCTTCGAATAGCAGAAATGAAATTCAATATGTCATGGACCTGAGAACAAAACTCCACACGTTGGGGCGGCTCTCTATGGAAAATTTGTTACAGGCCCAGGACAAGCAAAGTCGGCTGTACAACAGGGGGACTAGACTGCGAGAATTTGCACAGGGAGATAAAGTACTTGTATTACTTCCCACATCCAGTTCTAAATTACTCGCGAAGTGGCAAGGGCCGTTTGAGGTTACACGGCGAGTTGGGGATCTCAATTATGAGGTCATTCGAGCAGATAGGGACGGGGCACGTCAAATTTATCACCTGAATCTGTTAAAAAAGTGGAATGAGGTGGAATCAGTGATGTTGGCATCGGTGGTGAGTGGGGAGGAGGATCTCGGTCCAAAGACGAGTCCAAAATCACAATCTCTCGCTCTGGCACTTGGAGGAGACCACCTCTCGCCGGTTCAGATCACTGATATACGCAATTTACAAGCAGAATTTGCTGACGTGTTTTCGCCCCTGCCTGGTCGAACGAATCTCATTCAGCACCACATTGAGACGGATCCGGGCGTAGTAGTGCGTAGCCGGCCATATCGTTTGCCTGAACACAAGAAAAAAGTGGTTCAGGAGGAATTAGAGGCTATGCTGGACATGGGAGTAATAGAAGAATCCAACAGTGACTGGGCTAGCCCGATAGTTTTAGTGCCTAAAACCGACGGCTCGGTCCGGTTCTGTGTGGATTATCGCAAAGTGAATGCCGTGTCGAAATTCGACGCGTATCCAATGCCTCGGGTTGATGAGCTACTTGATCGGCTAGGTACTGCTCGATTTTATTCGACACTGGATTTGACGAAAGGATATTGGCAGATCCCCTTAACTCCAATTTCCAAAGAAAAAACAGCTTTCACGACGCCGTTTGGATTACACCAATTTGTCACGCTTCCTTTCGGGCTGTTCGGGGCGCCGGCGACCTTTCAGCGTTTGATGGACAGGATTCTCCGGCCGCATGCTGCATATGCCGCTGCTTACTTGGATGATATTATCATCTATAGTAATGATTGGCAGCGGCATTTGCAGCATCTGCGTGCTGTCCTGGGAGCGCTGAGGGGTGCCGGGCTCACGGCCAACCCGAAGAAGTGTGCGATTGGGCGTGTGGAAGTTAGGTATCTGGGTTTCCACTTGGGTCATGGGCAGGTGCGTCCCCAAATTGACAAAACTGCAGCAGTTGCGACCTGTCCAAGACCTAAGACCAAAAAGGAGGTTAGACAGTTCCTGGGGCTAGCGGGATAGAAGGTTTGTGCCTAATTATTCGGACCTCGCTAGTCCGCTGACTGATCTAACTAAAAAGGAGGTACCAGATACCGTCCAGTGGACGGAGCAGTGTCAGCAGGCCTTTACCCAGATAAAGGCTGCTTTATGTGGCGGACCGCTCTTACAGGCTCCTAACTTTTCTCTCCCTTTTATTCTACAGACTGACGCGTCGGACAGGGGGCTGGGCGCAGTCCTGTCCCAGGAGATGGAGGGTGGAGAGCGGCCGGTGCTGTACATTAGTCGCAAGCTCTCTAAGAGAGAGACTAAGTACAGCACCATTGAGAAAGAATGTCTTGCCATCAGGTGGGCCGTTCTCACCCTCCGCTACTATCTCTTGGGACGGGAGTTCACCCTCTGTTCGGACCACGCTCCTCTGCAGTGGCTCCACCGCATGAAGGATACCAACGCGCGGATCACCCGTTGGTATCTAGCGTTACAACCTTTTAAATTTCAGGTGGTCCACAGGCCGGGTGCACAGATGGCTGTGGCCGACTTCCTTTCCAGAAGGAGGGGGGGGGAGGCTGCAGTCCGGATGGCTCCCCGGCCTGAGTCGGGCGGTGGGGGTATGTAGTAGGGGGGCGTGGTTCAGCGAGGTCTGTAGCGGGAGTGCGGGGGTGGAGCCGAGCGGTAAGTAAGTAGGTCAAGTGCAAGATGACGAACACCTGTTTCTGATTGCAGTGATTGGCGTGGGGAGACCGGATAAAGGCCGGTTGCTGCGTGTGTTCGAGTGAGAGAGAGGGACTGGGATCTTGTACACACACAACGGAGAACCAACGTGATTTTGAGTAACTAGAGACTGTGCTGTAGTTGATCTATGGTGAAGGCGCTCGGGCGCACCTG